TGCCCCCGTCAGGCTCCCCCCCATCCTACTTGTGGGCCCCCCCCATCTCCAGGGACCCGGGATGCACCCATGTACCACCCACGGGTGGGTACACGGCTACAGGGACCTGCATCATTGCCGTGGGGTCACCTGGCTATAGGGACTCGGGGCTGCCCCTGTGTCCTCCCCAAAGATTGTTAGACACCCCTCTTCTAAAGGATATTTAACACCCCATGAAAATGGGGAGAGGGCTCTGCTGTGATTTCTGTGCCTGCTGCTGCGGTGGATAGTGTAGCTTCCTTATGCCATGGTACGGATTTCGCTGCAATACCTGAATGGGCTTAGGCAGCAGCCTGGGTCATTTTTTAAAAACAATTTAATAAAAAATTTTTTTTTATTTCTGTTAAGCAATGTGTTTGGGGGGAAGAGAGGATAGCAGATCCTCCAGTGTGAAATTCAGTCTTTTGGAGGTGTAGCTTTGTATGGATCAGTTGCTACAAGATCCTTGTGTTATTAGAGAGCTTTGTGATCGACCAGGTTCATGATAAACGTGTGCAGGGAAGCCTGCCAGATAGTGAAACCTCAGATGAACATCCTGCCTGAGCAACTACTGTTCTCATTCAGGATTCAGAAAAATCTATTCTTTTTTGCAGTGGGCAAGAGACAGGCGACCGCAGTTAGAGACAAGACAGACCTCCTGCTTTCCTTGCAGCCTCCTGTGGTCGCCAGCAGCTCTCTGCCGTGATCCAGCTTGGTTTGAGCTGATGTGCAGGTAGGGACGATTGCACGGGTAGATTAACCACATGAGTGGGGAAACTAACTGCTGGTTGGGAAACGTAGCAATCATCATACTTAAAAACTCAGAATTTATGTCTTAGCTTTTTCCTAGAATCTTGTCTTGCAGGAGAAACAACTTCCAGAGTTCTCCCATTGTCAAAGAAAAATCATAGAGTCATGTTTGTTCTTAAGGTGGAACTATTTGGACACTCAGTCTGATTGAAAGAAGCAAATTGCCGAATTGTCACTGCCCCTCAACTGTGAGATTTATCATTCTTCACGTCTTTTGAACATGCAAACTCATGGATAGAATAGGCAGAGATTAGCTGGGTATTACTAATCACTAATCACAAAGGCTGTCGGGATAAAATTAGAAAGGGAATCTTTTGTAGAAACCCAACCCCTCTTGCCTAGTGCTTCCAGTATTTGGTTTTCAAGTTCTTGTGGGCAGAGCCTTGAAGCAGGTTTTTTCTTTGCTGGAACAAGCAGGTGTGGGTGGGGGGGAGGCGGTGTCTGATTTTTATTGGCAAAATACTACTGTCGCGGAAGATGGTAATGCTAATGTACACCTAGTACAGACTAAATCCAATTAGTGTGTCTGGAGCTAAGAAGTCATTCGCTGTCATTGAAACTGGTTTCTGCTTGGTCTGTGACCTGTGAGGATAAGAGGGAGAGATGCTGCCTCGGCCTGAGCCCGGCTCCACCGAAGGCTCCTTCACCTGGATGGATGCTCATGCAGGGACTGGCTGTCATGATGCTGCTTGCGAGGGATGCCCTGGGATGGGGCAGGCTGGTCTCAGACTGGACAGCAAGTATTTTTTTTCTGAATGCATCTGGGTTATCAATATGGTCTTGTCTAGCCTGGACCTGGGGTTAGAGTTTGGACATAGAAGCTGCTGTTCCCAAAGTGTTCCTCAGCCTATGGAAAAACCACTTCAAGCTTTACATTGAGTCAGGCTGGTCCAGTTAAGTTCAGGCTGCCTGTGACTGCAGTTATCTTGGTCTAAAGATACAGTCCCACCAGCTGGCTGTACGAACTTCAGTCTGAAGGTGTTTGCATTCACCAGTCTAGAGATTGGGATCTCTGGAAAATATGGAAGTTAAGAGCAGATACTGGAGTAAGAGGAGGCATAAGGCACTAGAAGAATTATCGGCAGCAGCTCCATCTCTATCGTGGTCTCACCAAGCTTGGCTATTTTTAAAGCCCAGCTGTAAGGTCCTAGTAACCTCACCTCTGAAGCTGTCTCTGCTCTAAGCAAAAGGTTTGACTAGGGAGGTCCAGATGTCCCATCCTCTGAGGTTTTTCCTCTTATTCTACATGAAGTTAAGACGTAGATAGCATGTTATCAGCACCTTATCCCGTATATGTAACAAGAAGAAACCTCTCTGGATTCCCAGTAATGCTGTGTCTCCTCACCCACAGGTCATGTCCCAGCGTCAGGTGCCTGAGATGCTGATGTGATGCTCACCGCTGCTGGCAGAAACCTCTCTGGATTCCCAATAATGCTGTGTCTCCTCACCCACAGGTCATGTCCCAGTGTCAGGTGCCTGAGATGCTGATGTGATGCTCACCGCTGCTGAGTGCTCGTTGGCAGGGCTATGGGGAAACTGCAGAGCAAAATCAGCTTCCACACCTCCAAATACAGGTAAAACAACCCCAGATGATCTTATCTTAAGTTAATAAACCAGTTATGAGAGTGAATAGAGAACAGCAAATGAACAGAGAATATAACAAGCACGTGGTTTTAGTTTCGTTATTGAATGTATGAATCAGATCTTCATTTTTGACCCTTGGTTCTAAAGGCTGCTCAGCTTCTTTGGGGGACTGAAATCCAAAATGTAGCCAAGCGTCTAAGTCTGGCCGGTGGTTGTGCTCTGTGATGGCTAAGGCAGAGCTCTGAAGGCTAATAGCTCCAGGGGTGGCTGTTTGGCCCTAATATCCAAACTGCTTCACTGTCCCTTCAGAGACTGTCATCAGCTTTCATCAGCAAGATGAAATAATTCAGTATCTGGCAGCAAGGTGGGTGATCTCTGCCTGGAGATCAGCTGAGAGCACAGGGTAGCAGCAGGGGGGACTCAATGTGCTTGGCAAGGCTGGTGGCAGAGCAAAGGAGGGCAGCAGAGCCTGAAAGGTGTTAGTGGAAGCGGAGGCTGGTAAGATCAAAATTTCTTTTCTTCTTTGCACCACCATGGAGTGAGTAAACATCTAAATATTTAGCAGCTCTAGAGGTGGAATAGGTCTACTCCATCTTACCTAGTCCAGGAGGTGCATTTGTCCATTCAGAGCTTCTCTTCGGCTTTCTAAAGGCAGATATTGTCACCCTCCAGTCCAGCCACTGGTGCCATCTCCCAGACCTCGGTCTCATTGGGGAATGGCACCCTGACTTTGCCTTAAAGTGCCCTGCAGCTCCCGCCACTGTCTTGCTGCCTGCTGCAGGGCTGATGGCTCCGTGGAAGAGACAGGACCTGTTCGAGCTGTTCAGCAGCACAGCCCCGTGCACACCAACGCCGTCACTTCTGTGGCTGCTCTCAAACCAGACCTGTGTGTGTCAGGAGGACGGGATAAGGTGAGGCACCCAGCACTACGGGGCACAAAGCACAGTCACAGGCGGAAACATGTATTGACAGGTTAGGAAAATAAGGTTTAAATGTGAGCTTTAAACATTTCAGTGAATGGTAACAACTTTGTCAGTTGCTGAATTTAGAAAGAAAAGATAAGCTTAGAGTGAGGGCACACACTGAAGCACATTGAATCAAATTTCATAACCTCTCCAGAGCTCAGATCACATCAAATGCTCTCAACCAGGCTTGGAATCACTGGACTGGCCCTTCTCTTATCTTACCTGGCAATGGACAGGCTCTAAAGGCAGTTATATATGCTGTAGGAGCTCAAAACCAGAAGAACCCATTCCCTCTCCAAGCTTGGACTGTGCATGGGTCTTGGTATAAAATAACCAAAAACATGCATAATCCTCCTTCACCTGCTCTCCTGCTGCCCCTGCTGATTGCCTTTCCCTGCTCCTCTGCAGAGCGTGGCTGTTTGCAGCTGGAGATCTGGGGCTGCGCTGCGGCAGTTCAACGGGCACGAGCGGGAGGTCACCAAGGTGAGCGACAACTGATCAAGTGCGGTGGGGTCTCCTGTACTGTTACCTATCAGAAACTGGGGAAGAAAAAAGGTTTGTCATCCACAGAGGGCTCACTTTGCTCCATCAGGAAGGGGGCAGGGTATCAGAATGTGTTAGGTTTTTCCCAAGGTCCCAGGGAAGCAACATGAAGTGGTAGCATCCAGACTAAACAGGGCTCCAGGAGGCTTGGACGTGTGCTTATCTTCCCCTCCAACACACTGTGTAGCAAAAATTCATTAATTACTGGGTCAAGTTTTTGATTCAGAGATGCCATTCACTTTTCTTCTGGTCTCGTTCCACTAGATTCATTGTTATTCTACAGATCAGCCATGCCTGGGAACAGCGGGGCTTTAATTTCCTTCTGGCATTCTGATTACAAAGCCAAACACGCTACTCAGAGAGCAAATGTGCAGGGGTGTATACATGTGTGCATGGCATGGCCGGTGCACCTACGACTGGGGACAGCCCCAGGGGGTCCCCTGTGCTGTGGGTACTGGAGGGACGAAGGGGGCTTCGTTCATCCCAATGCACAAAGCAACCATGCACTGGGCTCATTTGGGTTTTTAAGGAAGTTTTTCCCATAAAATTAATGGTTTCTGAGAGTGAGATCCGAGAACACCCATCCACTATGCAGCTCCCTGCTTCTGAGAGGACATGTGTCCTGCTAGCAGGTCGCACACCTGAGCTGCCTGACATTCCCCACCATGACACACACTGCCACAGTACAGGCTGCAGCAATCACACTCAGGCTGAGTGTTTTCCCCTGGCCCTGCTGCGTTGGGGTTTGCCTGTGGCCAGGATCTGGCAGAGCAGAAGCAAGCAGGAGTCAGCACGAGCATCAGGCAATCCGGCATGTGCACATCCAGCATGGACAAAACAGAGTTTGAAGGTCAGGCTCTCCCCAGTCACGTTTCTGCATGTCTTGGGCTTTGACATGACAGCAAGAGTGTTGTGCTCTCCCCGTACACAGCTGGTCTGGGTGGGGAGGCTAATGGGCTTCTCTCATCTTGTTCTTGGCAGGTCACCTCTGCCCTTGACTCAAACAGAGTCTTCAGTGCATCCCGGGACAAGACAGTGATGATGTGGGAGCTTCACAGGACTTCGGGGCCAAGCCAGCACTTCCCAGGACATGACCTGGTTGTTACTGGACTGGCTGTGAGCCCGGGTGAGGGACAACACGCTCCCATTCCCCAGGGATTTCTTGACAACTTTTCTTGACCTTTTTTAATGTTAACTTGTGGTTGCAGATGCTTCCCAGCTGTGCACAGGTTCACGAGACAACACCGTGTGCAAGTGGGACACAGAGACTGGAGAGTGTCTGGGCAGAACTGCTATCTCCAGGAATCTGGTAGGAGCTGCTGGTTCCTTGCATGCTGTCATGGCACCTTGCTGCCTAGTTGGGTATTTCACACATGAAGCCGTGTAGAGTGAATTTGCTCTGAGCTTGGTGCTACAAGAAGCCCTTGAGGCACTGCACAGGTTGCCTGTGCACCTGGGGAGACCAAAGCTTGAGGCTGGTTACTCCGTTCTCCAGGTAACAACAAATCCAGGACCACAAAGATACCCAAAGACCTGCAGCAATTTATTAATGCTCTGACTCAGAGCTGTTAGGAAGCACATTGTGCAGTGGGGGCTGCATTCCCTTCTGTAACCAGCCTAGCAGTGGAGCTGGTATGGCTACCATCTTCTGGTGCCCGTGGTACACCTATTTCCATGGCTCAGTGTCCTGTCGAGCTGTTGGCACCTCCCTGCCTGCAAATAACCCCCAGTAACCACACTGGGATTGAACCTGGTAGCAGAGCAGCATTGGTGGAAGCAGAAAAAACTTCATCCAACATTTCCTACTGACAACCCAGCATGAGGAGGGGGAGGATGGGAGCTCAGTGGCTGTGTGTCTACAGGCGGACACCAGCCTGGGCTGCACGCAGAGGTGGGCTTTGCTTGTCTTTTCCTCTCCGCAGGTCACACATCTGTGCTGGGTTCCTGGGGAGCCTTACGTTGCCCAGGCCTCAGAGGATAAAACAATCAGGTAAATTCTACATATGGCCTCAGAGAAGGGAGTTACAGCACACAGGGATTATGGAAGATGCCAGTGCACAAGGGGCTGTTTCTTTGGTTGGTTGTTTTTTCTTTTGTTCTTTGTCGTGACTGCTTGGTCTCGTGTACCCTGCTGGGGTGGCTAGAAGCCACCTTCCAGTTCACCTGGGTCTTGGAGCATGATCTCTTGCCAGGGAAAGACAGCATGGGGACACCCATGGCTGTAAGCAGCACTGGGTGGTGGCTGCAGGTAAAAAGGAGAATTTATAAAAAAGAAAGCTCAGCACAGCTGCTCTGAGTAAAGATTGATCCAGGACAGATAGATGCAAGGATGCAGTGAGGGCTTTGGGAGCTTGGCTTGCTGGGAGGAAGGAGGGGGACTGCTCCATGAGGGACGGCAGCAAGGGCAAAATGTGAGGGTGCAGCGAGGGTGTGCGGGAGGGCATGGAGGGAAGCCCATCGTGGCACTGATGCGTCAGAGTCCCCCTTCCCCACTCCTGTTCCTTCCAGGATCTGGGACAGCCGGGAGCTGCAGGTGGCACACATGTTTCCAGCCAAGCGGCACATTCAGACGTGCTGCGATGTGAGCCAAGACGGGCGGTACTGCCTCAGCAGCAGCAGTGGCTCTGCTGGGGAGGGCGGCGAGGCGACCGTGAGTTTGCTGGGCAGCAAGTCCTGTTTTTTCTGTTTTTTTCTCCAATGTCTACAGCATACAGTGGATGGCAGCAGATCAGTGCTCCAAGGATCTGCTTGCTCCCATTGGCCTTATGCTGGTGCCACCAGCCAGGGCCAGAGGTTAGTGTCTTCCTGCCTGTCCCTTTGGTAAGTCTTCTGCTCAGAGAATATCTGAGCAGATATTCTTCCTGATTAAAGCACTGGGATTTTGTTTCAGTAATGGTGTCGAGGAGCACGAGGTTCTTGCAGAAAGCCTGTAAGGGACCCCTTGCTTGAGGTGTTTCCAAACCAGGGATTCAATCCTGCAGGTTCTCAGCCCTGTGTGTGAGCACCAAGAGGATGAGACCATCCCATCCCAGGGAGAGCAGGGCTGAGGACAGGAGCAGGCTGGAGACATGGTTATCTGCCCATCAGCTCTAATGGGCTTGGGCACATGCTCAAATAATCACTGATGGTGAAAATCCTTTGGGGTTTGAAGTCCTTCAGGACTGTGAGCATGAGTCAAAGGCAGTAGACATTGTATTCTGAGGATTGACAAGGAGCTCTTTATCCAAAACCATCTTCCTTTCTTTGTAAAACAGCTCCCTGTTGACAAGTGACAGTAACAGAGCCTGAGCTCTAAATGCTGCCTGTTGCCTTGCAGCTGTGGGACTTACGGCAGACAAGGAACCAAGTGTGTGAGTACAAAGGGCATTTCGAGACCACAACCTCGTGCGTCTTCCTTCCACGGGGCCCAGCTCTCACCCCCAGTATTGCCACGTCCTCGTACGACAGCACAGTGAAGGTCTGGGACCAAGACACTGGAGGTAGGGGAGGGTCTTGCCCACTCAGTGTGCCTTACCCTGGAATAACAAAACTGCTTCCTTTGTTTCTGTCTCCTGGTGGTAATTGGCATGATGAAGCCTGAAATCTCTGGGATTTACTCTAATCCAGCTGCAGGGCAGGGTGGAGATATGCCCCAGAGCAAACTCAGGGGCTTCTGCTTGCCCTCCAGCGAAGGAGGGTGTTTGGGTGTGTAACATTGGAGGTGGTGGGTGTCCTTCCTAAACTAAAAGGAAGTAATGACAAGATGGCTTTTAAAGATATGTCCAAGTTCAGCAATGAAAGGACAAATGATAAAAATCAAAAAGAACAGAGGAACTCCAGGGCTTTCTGCAGATACGAGTGGAAAGGTGTAAAGAATAGAAGTTGTGCTGGAGGATAGAAGGCTGGTCAGCAGCTGCCCTCGCTTTGATCACCCTCTTGAAGGGTCGTCGCAGGCATTTCGGGGTTAACGCGGCTTGCTGGAGTACTTGGCAAGGGCTGAGTCCTCACCTGAGCTGTACACAAAGGCTGTTTACCTGCCAAGCCCTGCCATAGCAGCAGGCTTGTTTGTTAGCAACGTCTTGCACAGAAGGCAGAGACCGCTTGGGAAGCCGTTCAGGTTCACAGATGGGCACTGAATGCAGCAGAAGTCATCAGCATTAGACACTCCCCATGGCTAAGCACCTCTCCAAATGCACTTATTTAACATAGGATGAAAATAGAAACCTGATGATCTCCCACAGAAAAAGCTCTCACCTTCTGTTTCACTTACCTCTTCTTTCACCCTGGTGCCTGTGTATGCCGAGACAGCCACGGGGTTGGCAGCAGCTTTGTTCTGATCCTGTTGCCTTCACAACTGGGTGACCTTCGCAGCCATCAGCCTTAATTCAGGTGCTCTTGGAAAAGGTGTAAGTCCCCCTGAGTTGCCTGTATGTCTGTGTCAAATGCGGCTCTGTTAGCAGCTCAGTGTGGGGCTGGTGTCTCTGCACAAATACTGCCTTAGGATTTTTTTTTTTTAAATAATAGACACAAACAGAAGGGCTGATGTGGTGCTGGATATTGTAGATCTTATTTCTTTTTCTTTTTTGGTGATTTATCAAAACTGCATATTGAATGTAGCAGAGCCCTTAGGAAAAATTTTTCTGGACCGTAAGCAATTTGGGAGAAAAAGGCATGCTGGGAATGCCTCCATGCAAGCCCTGCAGCTCTGCCCGCTGGGGTCTGTCTGTCCATCCATCCCTGCCTCCTCTCCAGGGAAGGGCCAGAGCCCGGCCTCAGCCTGGATCCACATTAGTTGGACAATGCACAGATCCCCTGTAGGGCTTATGGGGGTGGAGGGTCTCTCTTCCAGAGGGCACATCCCGATGCCTTTGGACACGGGGATCTGAGACAGCAAGGGGTGCAGCTCAGCCTCCTTGGGTGAGGAGATGGACATGCATGGGCAGAGCCAGGAGGTGGGAGGTTGGTCTGGTCATGTCTTATCTCAGCAAACCAAGTGTCCCAGGTGACTTCTCTCTTCCATCCCCAGCCTGCCTGGCCACCTTGTGCCTCGAGGGATCGGGACCACTGGCCTCGCTGGCCGTCTGCGACAGCTCCACACTGCTCTGTGCCAGTTTTAACTCGGGAATTCATGTACTCCAGATGAGTGACCATGCAGACCCGGTGCTGGAGGAGGTGGCAGTGTTTTGACTGCAGTAACCTTCCTGACAGAGACTGCTCTGCAAGGGGATGCGATTCCCCGAGAGCTTCCCCCTGACTGCAAACATCAGGAGACCCTGCATCTGTAGGGCAGTGATGTGTGATCAGCAGGGCAGGGGCATTTTTTGGTTTCAGTTTGTGGGTGGCGGGAAGGCACTAGAGCTAGTCTAGAAGAAAAGCCAAGTCATGGATGCATTCAGGCCAAGTTCTCACTCCTGAAAGAGCAAAAAAACCAACCATGCAGGCTAGCTGCACGTGGTGGGAGCTAAGGGAGAAGATGAGCTGTGAAAAGTCAAGGGGCAGCACTGAAGGGTGCCAGGGCACAGGGCAGGAAATGCTCAGCCTCCTTCCCCTTGCTCCAGTTGAGTGGAGCTGAACGTGCTGTGACAGAAACCCTGCACTAGGATTCATACCCCAGGAACAAGTGTAAATGCAGAACATTCATTGGTGTTCAAAATTTAATCTAAAGCCAGCTAGAAATGTGGGAGCCAGCTGGGTGACTGCTGGGCCAGGACTGTCCTGTGAATGGCAGCCTCATGAGAAACACCCTGGCGGGGCTTGTCCTGGCACAGCTGCCAGGCACAAACAGTCCCTTTAGCAGACACTTCATCAGATACTTAAGAACCAGCTTGAGCACATGTAGCTGGGTATCTAGGCTTATACAAGAGGAAACTGCAATTAAATATTTTTCTGTGTTAGTTGCTGACTTCCCATCCCGTAGTATTTTCCCTAGGAGTAAATAAGAGCTAGCATACAGCATGTGGTAGATACCAACATACTACCTGGAAGGGAGGAGAAAGCCCACAACACTCTGCTAGAAAAAATGTAACTCATGAGTGGGTTTGGTTTTTTTTTTTTCTTAAAACATGATCCCCAGCTGCACTGCAAATGTTGAGAGAACTGTGTTCACTCCCAAGGAACACGGACAGCTGCTCTCCACCTAATAGGGCGATGAATCAGTCTTCTCTTTTCTCCTGAAGGTTTTTTACAATAGCAGACAGAAATCAAGCTGTGTGTTGTGAAGTACCTGTAATTCCAGTCAGGCCCAGAGGCTAGGGTGCCCATTCAAAACACGTTTTGATTTTCCAGAACACAACATTTGCAAAAACTCAATTTAAAGAATAAACAAGTAAGAAAGGTCCCCACAGTGTAAGTTAGAACAAGACAATCCCTACACTGAAACAGCCTTCTTTGTATCATCTCAGGTGAGACACAGCAAAAACTTAAGCAGGAGATGCCTACATGGATTTGAAACACCCAGTTCATGAGACCACTCAAGGAGCTAGGACATGAGATGGTACATGGAAAAGAAAAAATTCCCTCACCTTTAGCATCTACTGTGAGTGCACACAAAGGGGATGCAGACCTCCGCATTCAGAGACTACCTTCGCAGAGGCAGGGAAAGCAGGGTACCATGCTCCTGTAACTCTGACAGCTAGTTTTTCTTTCTTTAAATGCAAATCAAGTTTGAAGCCAGACTCCTACCAAAGGCTCCTGGAAAATGAAAGGTAAGAAGGGTATTAACAGAGGCTGTACAACGCACCATACTTGAGGTGTTGTGTGGCTACCTACAAATGTTTAAAACAGACTGGAGAAAACCTGTGAGCCTAACTTGGAAGGGAAGGTGGAAGCAAATGGATCAGCTCCAAATTACAGCAGAAAGCAGTATCTGCAGTATAAAAACAAAGTCCTAAAAAGTGGAAAAACATCACCTGAGATGTGACTCCAACCAAGCCCTGGCAAACACAGGTGCTTCAAAACCACCTCAACCCAAGACCAGCCAGTGATGACAGCTGCCGTAACACGTCACAATAGCTGATTCCTGTTTTTTCTTTAATATAAAAAAGCAAGTCTTAGTTCAAAGCCTTTAACATCTCCATTCCAGTTCATCAGCAGCACCTCTGAGCTACTCCGCTGTCCACAACTTGAAGGTTCTGTCGTAGGAGCAGGTTGCTATCAGCTGGCCATCGAGGGAGATATCCAGTCCCATCACCTTTCCCTCATGACCAGCCAGCGTTTTCAAAGGGGACCAGCCAGGGTGAGTCCAGATCTTTGCGGTGTTGTCGTAAGCGCCTGTGAGCAGGAAGTTACCGTGATTGGCTGCAGTAGAGGATGAGAAAAAGGGAGAAGTGAGATTTGCAAATAAAAACATGACAAATGTTCTCTGCTAACCACTACAGGCCTTCTTGACCTTAAGATGTGTTTTCAAGTTGCACCGTCCCCTGCCACTTCAGCTCAGGAGAGGCAGCGATAAGGAACATCAGACAGGAGACACTTACGTTCAAATTTCACCCCGGTCACCAGGTTCTGATGGGCAGGAATAGTGTAGATGCACTTCCTCTGGCGGAGGTCCCATACCTTGCAAGTATTGTCACCACTGCCAGTTGCAACGTGGTAGCTGCCAAAGGGTGAAGAACACGTTGTTGGGAGGTAGGGTTTTGTACTCAGAGTTCCCACATAAACCATGCAAGCTCCTTTCTTACCCATTTGGGGAGAAGTTAACTCCATAGATCTCCTTCAGGTGGCCTTCTAGAAACATGATACAGCGTCCTGTGCGCAAGTCCCACACCCGGCCAAAAGCATCCAGTCCACTAGGAAGAGAACCCGAGCGTTACCCATCAGACACTCCAGCAACTGCCAGAGTACACTCAGCCTTACCAGCAGAAATCACTGGGGCACTTGGCATCCAACAGCAATGAAACCTTGATAATATTTCAAGTCCAGTTCTGATGCAAAGCAAACTCACCCAGTCCCAGCGAGAGACCCATCCGTGTGAAAGGCAATGTCATAGACCCCTTTGCTATGCCCCTCTTGATGGAGAATCTCTTCCTGAGCTTCCAAGTCCCACAAGCGCCACGAGTGATCGTAGCTGTAAAAACAAAGTATTTGTCCAACTAAATGTATCTCCAAGGAGAATAACAGGGTAATTTCACTAACTCTGTGGGCATTTTATTTCCAGCTGGAGACCAACAGCATCTCACATGAGGGGCAGAGAAAGGAATCCCAGTGACTTGCCATCATTTACATTGCAACAGCCCAGCTGTTGTCAAGATCAGCCAACCCTTGCCCACACTGGGCTCCTCTGCAGACAAGCAGTGGTACCCACCGGGCTACCAGCTAGACAGCTAATGCTAATGTCTTAAAGCAAATAACCAAATCTCCATACCAGGTAGTACCCAGGAATCTCCCAGATGGGTGCCACATCACACGTGCTACTCTCATGCTGTGTCCTTCAATATCTGCCACTGGTTCATCACTGAAAAACAGAAACAGAAATCATCAGACACTGGCCAGAGGTGGCTGGCTCTAGCCAGGCCTCTGCAAACATTATGATCGCAGCAAGACAGCTGCTAATTAAATGCAAGCCAGACAGGAAAATCAGAGTTTTAACTAATGACTCTGAATTCTGTCTTTTGTTCACACAGCTAAAGCTCTAAGTGAAACCCCTTCATCCACATTCACGTTGGTTATAAAGTGCTCCTGGGATAATTATTTCCTGAAAATTAACAAGGCCCTTGTTAATAGCACTTTGAAAGTAGTAACAGCAGAAACAAATCATGGACTTGCTGAACAGCAGGGAGTTTTACTGTGACTACACAGAACACATCCCCAACTACAGCAAATCCAGCTGTTCTGAGGAATCACAGGGCAGGCAGGATAGAGTGAATATTTATTCTCCCAGAATTACAGGCAGCAGGTCAGTAGCCTTCACTAGAAGACCTGAACAGCATTCAGAGTTTCTTTCCAACAGACAAACTGAAGAGATGTGGTCACATGAGACTAATAAACAACCTGTCCCTTTGCACAGGTATGCATCTGCAATTAGAAACAGTGGCTTTCAGCTAAGGATAAACAACTGAGGATCTCGGAGCTGCCTGCCGCAGCCTCAGGTGCACTGCAGGGCTCCGCTTTTCAAACACAGCAGATGCTAGGGCTCGGTATCTACACTGTTCCGCTCTTCACAGGCTTCAGATAGGTGCTGTGCATCTTCCAAAACCACACTGCACAATGATAGAGCCACTTGTTTTTATTAGTGGATGAAGCTATGGTGCATGGTCATGTATCTGGTTAGTCCCTCTCTGGTGCTTCCCAATAACTCAAAAGTTCATTTCTTAATATCCAAGAGGGGAAATTTTCTCCTAAAGAAAAGGTTAGAACGAAAAAATCTCCAAATATTCCATCCATCACCCAAAGCAGTTTACCAAGGCCCAGCAGCAATTTTGACTTGATTCTTTTCAGATGATTTCCCCTCACCTTGATTCCCCTAATCAGGGTGATCTCTTTTCCTGCTACACATACTGAGGCCAGGAATTGCACTGGTATAACTACAAGAAAAGGTTTTATTTGCAGGAGGATGGTAAATGTCCAATGTTTAATAACACAAAATAAACCCCAAAACAACAATGCTGCAGCTGGGCATGCCTGGTATCATTCTGACCTTTCAAGGCTCCAGAGTTTGACAGACCCGTCAGCCGCACATGAGGCCAGGTTAACGTCCTTCTTGTCTAGGGAGACAGTGGCTTTGGGATGGAAGACTATTGCTCCTACGTTGGTGTTATGTCCTTAAGAGAAAGAAAGATCAAAATTTATAATCTGCCACGTGATCTTGGCCAGTTCTTCAGAAAAACAGCACTTCTTTGTTACTAATTAGTCAGGTACCAGTGAACACTTTCACTGTGTCCTCCCATCTTGGGTGAAGTTGCGTTGTAACCACCAGACACATCTGTCTTGCAAACAGCTAAACTGAACTCCAGTAGCACTCGCTTAAGAGTATCAAACGCCAAGGTTTGTAACCCTCAAAATGCAGTGAAAATTCAACATATGAATCAAGAGATTTGTCCTCACATTTGTATTTAGTCGAAGTTGTGACCACTGTTCAAAGAACCTCACTGCTGTTAAGTGGCCCGGCTAAAAATGGTGATATTTGGCTCAAAATATCTCAAACCAGGTTTTGAAACAAAAGAAGAACATCATTCAGAAACAGAAACGAC